TTCACACATAAGGCCGAATACCCCCAGGCCCACCGCTGCAGGACTGAGGGGCCCCTCTCAGTAGCCTGGAGCCAGGCTCCCTTACCTGCTCCCTCACTGGTGACTGATTCCAAGTATTAGTTTCTGGTTGTACAGAAAGTCCGCACCTTGCCAAGGTTCAACTTGGGATGTTTTACTTTACAATGGTGGAAAAGCAATACCAAATCAGCAGAAAATGTACTTTTGATTTTGAAATCAGATTATTTCTCAAGCTAGAACCATGCAGTACCATCCTCTCAGGAGGCTGGGAAGGAGCAGAGAAGCCACATAATCAGAAGGGGAAACAACTGTCTCCTGTGTGCTGTGTTGCTAAGCAGGAAGTTTAGTAGGCAAGGTGTGATTTTAAAAAAAAGCATTTCTACTTAGGATGTTTTCAATTTATTTTGGGCTTATTGGGATGTAACCTGTTGGGAGTCCCCAGGCTCCGAAGACTAACTTCCTCATCCCCCAAGAAGTGCCATCCAATGATGAGCCCTGCTAGCTCACATGATCCTGCCGTCCAATGGTGAGCCCTGCTGGCTCACATGATCCTGCCGTCCAATGGTGAGCCCTGCTGGCTCACATGATCCTTACCCACCAATTAGAATGCACGCCAGGCCAACTGCCAAAAAAAATGTTAAACTGTTAAACTGTTTCAACTGTCAAACCACCCCCGGCTCTATAAATATGCAGAGCTATCTCATGAAACGGGCATTTTCTCCAAAGGCAAGCCTTGGTTTTTCTTTCATAACCCCATTGTAAGTCAAAGAGCATCTGTTTCCACTACTTGTAACTGAGTGTATCCAGAGAAAACCATCATGCCCGTGGGTTAAACTTTGGATTTCAGAGTCTGTCTTCTTGGGCTCAATTTCTGCCTTTGCCACTTATTAGCCAAACAACTTGAGCCACTGTACTTGACACCCCTGAGTTTCATTTTCCTTTTCTGAAAGAGAGACAATAATAGTACCTGCCTCAGGGTGGTTGTGAGGATTAAATGAGGTATTATGTGAGTTTAAGAGAGAAAATGCTCTTCACAGTTAAAAGCTCACAGGGGTGGGGGACTCCATCTTGTCTGGTGGATTTGAATGAGAGTCTAACAAGGACTGGCAGGATAACTAATCCACCTGTATTCAGCTGCCTTGAATTTGAAGTGGGAATAAGGGAGTCAGGCTTTTCTGAGGAATAAAGAGATAAGGGCATTTAGAAAAATACCTGGTAGATAATAGCACAGAAGTGATTGTTATTATGCACTATTTTCTCCAGGTATCAGAAGAATATCAATACAAGGTAGATGCTGTTTACTCAAAGGCATAGTCAATAATTTTTAAAGAACTGTTTGAAGCCAGACATGGGGGCATGCACCTGTAATCCCAGAAACTTGAAATGCTCACGCAGGAAGATCACAAGTTTTAGGCCAGTCTGGGCAATTTAGTGAGACCTATCTCAAATTAAAAAATAAAAAGGGCTGGGATGTATCTCGGTGATAGAGCATCCCTGGATTCAATCCCCAGTGCTTAAAAAAGAAAAACAATTATTAGAAATCATTTTCTTACCCATTAATTATTTTGTAGAACTATTTAAAAAATGTATTCTTAACAAGAAAAAGCAGTACTGCCTCACACTGGCAGAGAATTTACATAGTACCCTGCATAGTGCTAGGCTCTTTGCTTTCAAGGATTTCATAGATCATCAGAGGAAATAAAGAAAGTAGACAATTGCAATAAAGTGCATTTAGCTCAAGGTATACTACTACTTTGCTCTCTTTATCCTCACAGCCACAAATTAATCTCCGCATGTAAGAGGGAAATAAGAGACACAGATGAAATTAAATGGGATGAATCCCCTATGTGAGATTTTTTGCTTTGTTTTGTTCTTTTGCTGTAGTAGGTATTGCACCCAGGGGTGCTCTACCACTGAACTACATCCCCAGACTTTTTTCCTTTTTATTTTGAGACAGGGTCTTACTAAATTGCTGAGGCTGGCCTTGAACTTGAGATCCTGAGTCATTGGGATTACAGGCATGCACCACCATATGATTTTTGAGTTCTCCTGTAACTTCTTCATTTACCTTCACCTTACAAAGATTTGAATGATCAAATTTTGGTGTATGGACTTTCCTTTTGTTCCCTTCATTATTCTAGCTTGGGTTATCTATACAGAGTAAGTCCACTGCCTGTTGTAAACCACATAAGGGCCTTAGAGCCTCACTACAATATAAATGGAAGCAGCATAATGGGGCATGAAGCTCAGGATGTGGACCTAGGTGGGTGCTCCTGGAAATTGGGCAGATCTTCAGAGCCTGGCCTGTGTCACCCAGGGAAGTCAGGACAGCAGGAGACTGTGCACCTGGTAGATTGCATGTGGACAATAAAGGGGAGACAAGCTGTGGGAGCACTGTTGCACACAGAGAAACAGCCTGTGCAAAGTACTGTGGGAAGTCTAACATGATATAGAGACCACGAGGTATTCCTTGTGACTGAACAAATCATGTGGGGAATTAAAAAGTAATGGGATGGGTTCAGTCTTTGTTTTTTTGTTTTGTTTTGTTTTGTTTTTTGTTTTTGTTTTTCCCCTGTGTGCAATAGTGAGCCACTGAAGATTACTGAGCAGGGGAAGGGCATGATCAAATGTCCATGTGTGAAATACCCCTTACGTAGTCATGGGAAGATAAACTGGAAGAGTAAGGGCTAGAGGGAAGAAGTTGAGAAAGGAACTATGGCAATGGTTCAGGTGACAAGAGGTAATAGAACTGGGAAGGCAGTGGAGGGATCTTCAGGAAGCCAGGAAAGGGGAGGTACAAACTGGAGACTAGTTGGGTGTAAGAAGTGAGGGTAAAGTAACAAGTGAGAGTCTCCCCAAGGTTCTGGCTTAGGAAGCAGGGTGAATGGCCCTGCAATGTGCAGCAGAAATAAAACAGGAATGGACCCTGCTTGTGGGGTCTGATTCCAGGTTCAGACTATCCAAGTGGAAGCATCCAATAAGGAGTGTGCAAATATGGGTGTAAGCATCTGCATCTTCAGACTTGTCTCCTAGCATCTCTCCACTGGTTCTTCTGGGGTTACAGGTTCTTAAAAATGATCTTGAAAACTTAACATCTTGTCTCTAGAAAATCCTGGACAGAGAATTCCCTTCCTCTGAAAAGCCCTTGGTGACAAAACGCTGGTAAAGGAAGAGGACAACCTGGGGACATCACAGTCCCAGGGTGAGTAGAGGAAGGGGAGCCACACAGGCCATTTAAAAGGTGTGGCCAGGGGCTGGGGATGTGGCTCAAGCAGTAGAGCGCTCGCGTGCCATGCGTGCGGCCCAAGTTCGATCCTCAGCACCACATACAAACAAAGATGTTGTGTCTGCCGAGAACTAAAATATAAATATTAAAAAAAATAAAAAATTTTAAAAAAATAAAAATAAAAGGTGTGGGCAAAAAAAAAAGGTGGCATATATACACAATGGAATTTTACTCAGCATTTAAAAGGAACAAAACCATGGCATTTGCAGGTAAATGGATGGCTTTGGAGAAGATAATGCTAAGTGAAGTCTGCCAATCCCCCAAAAAAACAAATGTGGAATGTTTTCTCTAATATAAGGGGGCTGACTCATAGTGGGGTTGGGATCATGGAGCATGGGAGGAAGAGATGAATTCTAGATAGGGCAGAGGGGTGGGAGGGAAAGGGAAGGGGGCAGGGGATTAGCAAGGATGGTGGAATGCGATAGACATCATTATACAAACTACATGTATGAAGACTTGAACTGGGTGTCAACATACTTTATATACAAACAGAAATATGAAAAATTATGGTATATATGTGTATTAAAAATTATAATACAGAAAAAGTACATGTATAAAGACATGAATTGGTGTGAACATACTTTATATACAGAGATATGAAAAATTGTGCTCTGTATGTGTAATAAGAATTGTTATGCATTCCATTGCTGTCATATATTTAGAAAAAATAAAATCAATAAAACATTTAAAAAATAAATAAAAGGTGTGGGCAGAGCATCACATGGTGGCACACACCTGTTATTCCAGCGATTTGAGAGGCTGAGGCAGGAGGATTGCAAATTTGAGTCCTGCCTTGACAACTTAATGAGACCCTGTCTCATTAAGGAAAGGCTGGGTCAGTGTGGGGTCAAGGGACAGCTAAGACTCAGGATCAGAATAAGGACTGTCAGGAAATCAAATTCTTGGATTTCCATCAAACAGTCCCTGCAATCTGGGGAATTCATCTGGGAGTCATATAAGGTCATCAGGGTACAAGAAGTGATTTTCAGTGAGCCAGTGGACTGAGGAAGTGCAGTCCCTATTGTTAGCAAGACTTTCATTAACCCATGGGTCATTATTTACAGCTCTCTGTATATTGTAACTGTGCCACTGGTTCTAAATAATCACTATCCAGTATTTATTTACACAAAGTGCCTTTAGAATCAAGTCAGGCTTGGAATTATAATAATTTAGAGAAGGGGTTGAGAAAGTCCAAGAGATGAGTGGAAAAGAAAAACCAAACAGAGAAAGTTACAAAGAGAATCATGACTTTACCAATGTGGATTTGAGACATTTTTTCTTTGACTAGAATCTGAGTTTTTTGTTTTGCTCTGCAAATGAAATCAGAAATTCATAAACTTGGTGGGAGAAAATATAATTTCACTGAGAGATCAAGTACAAATAAGATATCCTACTCGGCAAATATAACAAAAATGCCTTTGTTTTATAACTAAAAGAGAAAGGAACTTATTTTAAGATAAATAGAGTGAACTCTATTTTAAATGCATGCATTTATGACTCGTGTTTGCTAGGATTACAGGTGTGCACCACTGCACCCACCTCAATTTAACAATTTTTCAATACAATTAGCTGAAGCTAATCCCGGCACAAATAGATAACAAACGTTATAATTAAAGAGAGGCAGAAAGGAAACAATGAAATTAAAAATGCCCCCATTATATGAAAGAGTGGAAAAATGGCCCAGTGTCTGGTTTCTTGGAATTCATACTTCCAGTATGTGAATTACTAATTCTTCCTGGAATCACCCCTTTTTCCTCTGGAGTATCCTTGAGTGAACTCAAGCAAGTGCCCTTGAGGGCCATGTTATCTCTCCTGCCATCCTCATGCAGCCCTCCACACACCAGGACAGTTTCATTTTACTTTATTTTCTGCAGTGGTGGGGATCAAACCCAGAACCCTGTGCATCATAGGCAAGTGCTCTACCATAGGCCAATTTGAAGGAGTCCAGGACATTATCAGAACTTTTTTGCTCAAGGCTGAAAGATTTCTATACAGTTTATAAAATTCTATGACCTGTTTTGTGATGAATTTATAATTATTTATAACTATATCCCTAGTTCCAAAAAAAAAAGGCAGTAAGAGCTACCTCAATAGTTCTTACTGTGTGCCCTGTGTTAGTCTAAATTCTTTGCATATGAACTCACTTAGTTCTTACAACATCTGTTAAAAGAAAAGGTGGGGGGTGAGTCATTGGCCACAGTCACACAGCTAGTGTCAGGGCCGAGCATTTAATGTAGGCAATGTGCCCTCAACAGCCACCACCTCATTCTAATCCATATAAAGATATTCCAGACTCAGAACAGTTCAATGTACAATATCTTTTTCTTTTTTTCAGTCCTAGAGATTGAACCCAGCAGCACTCTACCACTGAGCAATATCCCCAGCCCTTTTTGTTTTTTGAGACAGGATCTGGCTAAATTGCCAAAGCTGGCCTTGAACTTGGCACCCCTGCTGCCTCGTCCTCCTGAGTTGCTAGGGTTACAGATTACACCACTGCATCCAGCTCAATTTAATAATTTTTCAATTTTACCATCATATGAAATATGCATTCTTTGGATTTCTATCACTTCCCAAACTAGCAATTTGCAGTCAGGTCCTTTCTGGAGATGCTGGACAGCAGCAGCATATCCCAGTTCCCTGTAACTCAATCACCAGAGCCGACAGCCACAGCTCTAGTGGCTCTAGTGCACTGTGTTGTCAGGCTGAGGATTTCATTAGGCTAGAAGTACTACATGCATCTTCACTGACAATGCTTTCAATTCCAGATTGGTTTATCAGGATGTATATTGGAAATCTAGCTTCTTGAGATAGGATTTGGGATGCAACACACAGTTCAGTGCCAAGAATGATAGGGATCTGCTAAAGAGCAGGTTTTAATGCTCAGATAGGACTGTACAGAGTATTCAAGAAGGGCATGAGATGGAAAAGATGCTTCCACAGGTGTTTAGACAGGGAACTTTCCTAAGCTCCCAAAGTTTCCAGATCTACACAGTCCCCCATCTCAGGCCATGACAACCCCACCCAGGAGTCCAGAGCAAAATTCTTGGCATGATCATTGTTTCTTTCTTTCTCATTCAATGTTCTGCCCATCAGATCAGAGATCTTTGCTTTGTGCACTTATGGCTTCCAGGAGCCTGGAATAGTGCTTGGCTCAGTAAATATTTGAGATGCAAAGGCCGGTAAAGAAACAGCAAGAAAAGCCCCTGTCTGCAAAGCAGATAGGACCCAAGAGCATTCTACACTCAGCTGCATCCCCAGCTCTTAAAAAGAAAACATGCATCACAACAGCCTGCTTGACTCCAAAGGTTCTAGCAAAGTGACCCAGGTTGCATGTTTAACTTTTTCCTAGAGCTGGAGATTGAACCCAGCACCTCAAGCATGCTAGGCAAGAGCTCTAACACTGAGCTACACCCACACACACACACACACACACCTACCCTTCCCCTGGCTAGGGTGTTTAACTTATGAACCTCTCGGACATTTTGGGGATTGCCCAGGATGAGTATTCTATCACAGTTCACTGGATGGACTCCCAGTGAGTGTGATGTGGTACTGGGGAAGTCCCTGGCTAAATGTATCTCCATTTCCCCGCCCATTCCCCCACCTTGCTCTGGAATACTTGAGATCCTTGGTCTTGGTTGGCACCCATGCCTGGGTGGAGTCTACAAAGAGGCAGGGTTGGGAATTGGGATTCCTGCACACTTCCTGTAAATAAAGCAAAGGGAGAATTTAGAGGAATTCCAGTTTGCTATGTAGGTGACATGTGCTGCACATACTTACACCAGGCCTCTCACCCATGCTTTCAACAGCTGTGACATATCCTTGACTCAAAACACTCCTGGATGGAGCCACTGGATATACCCATTTCACAGACTGCAGACCTAAACCCCATGTGCTACTTCTTGTTATCAGGTTATGGAATCAAGTTAAGAGTCAGTTCATACTCAGTCAACAACTAGAAATCAATATCCAAGGGCTGAGGCTGTAGCTCAGTGGTAAAGAGCTTGCCTCGGTCGCATGCGTGAGGCAATGAGTTTGATCCTCAGCACCACATAAAAATAAATAAAGACACTGTGTGTTCATCTACAACTAAAAAAATATATACATAAAAAATATTTTTTAAAAATATCCAAGCTGGTAACTTTATAAGGATTTTTGAAAAATTGAATTGATATTTGGGCTATAGTGTGGCTCAGTGGCAGAGCACTTGCCTAGCATGCCTAAGGCCCTGGGTTCAACCCCCAGCATTGCAAACAAACAAAAATGAGATTTATCAAACATCTACTATGCACCAGGGCTATTATAGATGCTTAGAATACATCAAGGAACAAAACAATGACCCTACCTTCATGAAGGTTATGGCCTAGCAGGGGAGACAGGTAATCAATGTAGTGAATAGGTACAAATGGGTACAAATCTGTTATCTTATAAGGGGATTCGTGTTATGGAACCTTTATTAAGGAAGAATTACAATAAATGAAAAAATAAAAAATGTAAAGGATTCAGTAGACAAATACTCATTAAATCTGGGAAGAAGCAAAATCAAAGAAGGTCTCAGTTTCATTGTGGCAAATTTTAGAAAAACAGAGTCTGTGTATTGCCCCTAGAAAGGGAGAGCATCACCTTTTCTCTTGCATGCATGGTGTCCCAGAGGATAGGACAAAGTCACACCGAATAACATCTTCCTGCCACGTGTGTGTCAACTTTCTTCCCTGATGCCACACATGAGGCCCTCTCTATACACCCACCTGTCTTACAGGCTCATGATGAGGAAGCTGAGGTCAGAGTCCTTAAGTGTCTTACTCAGGTCCTGCTGAAGGCTAATGATGAGAGAACCTGGAACCTGGGTCCTGATGCTATGATGCTTCTCAAATTATCCCCTGCTAGAAACCTAGAATCCCATGACCTGGGCTGGA